CTGGTCTCCTGGAGAAGCTTGCTGCATTGGGTTCCCTGATGGGAACTTGGCTGTCTTCACCACTGGAGGAGCTTGGGACCTCACTGTTGCTGAGGATGGCTGTGGTACCTTTCGAGGGAGCTGTGGTTCTTCTGAGTGTCACTTCCTGGCTCCAATGCAGATCCCCAGCCTGCTAGCACAGCTTCTTCATCGCACTGGCACAGACTTCCTAGATTCCACCACTGGCTTTTGGCCTTCCCAGCACAGATCCGTGAAACAGGCCAACGTGAGATATTGTTATGGGCTCTGGGCCTCCACCTGGATTCATGGGGGGCATTATCATGGGCTGTAGGTATTCAGCTGGACTCATGCACATCATTACTGTGGAATCCAGGCCCTTGGCTGGATTACTTGGTCTATAGTTTGTGGACAGATTTCCTGCATTCCTTTGTATGTCATTCTTTGGGTGACTATTATAAATAATCTCATAAAATATGTGTCCTATAGTGAATCATTCCCCTTGCAAAAGTAACCCCCCACCCAACACAGCAAGTTTATGCTGTTGATTGCTGGATTTTGTTGTCTTTCTTTAAATATTATTGGATTTCCTAAGTTACATCATTTTTAGTACAGCTTTATATTTTCAGTACTTGTTCTTAAGTTATTCTAAATCAAATTTAAGCCCTAATTCTATCTTGTGATCCTTTTTGGGTCTCTGGATTCTGTCCTCTGCCTGATTGGAACGAATCTTCAGCATTCCTGTGTGCGTTTGTGGAGCTATTCAGCACTTTCCCACTCTCGCTTCATGGGGGTGCACTGATGCATGCAGGGCTCAGCATTGAGGGGACCTGCTACAGATTTCCAGATTTCTCCCTCTGTCTGCACGCGATCCTCCAATCTCTGACTCTCAACTCAGAGTGACCTCTCTGCCTTGTCTTAACAGGGAGTCCAGGCAGAAAGATGGAGCAGTTATAGGGCTCCTCACGTTTGCATCTCTTCTCTGGGGGTGGTGCTTACTGCACAATGTAAAAAACATTTGTTCCATACATTCTGTCCCTTTTCTATTTTGTTCACAGAAAGAGGGCAAATTCAGTCTCAGAAACCCTATTATAGCTGGAAACAGAAGTTCTTGGTGTTCATTTTCTTATCATTGCTCCTTAGCAGCTATGCTACTAAGGTTTTGACTCAATGACTCTTTAATATATATACCTAGTAGATTTCACTTTCAATTATTATACATTTTATCTTTTGTATTTGATTTTATATCCGCCTCATTCTATTTTGATTGTACTTTGCTCCTACCTCCTGTTTTGTATAAGTTTTCCTAATATTTACGCATCATATTGGGTATATATTAATTCTAATATTTGAGATCCTTGGTAGGGTTAACCTTAATGTTTGTGCCGACTCTTGCCTATAATACCTTGATTTCATGTGTGTTTTGTAGTCTGAGGTCCTTAGCTCACATTTAATAGGGCTTTGGAATCCTGCAAGTCTTGGGTTTAATCATCAGAGATTTATGTTTGCCCTTGTCAAGCTTTTACAGGGCTGTTAAACTGAGACTCCTTTAAAGTAATTTACTAGTGTGGGGTTTTCTGGACCATATCAGCAATGCAAATTAGAACTCCAAACATGCATTAAGACAAATTGTAACTGTAAATTCTTATGGTAACTTTTTTCACTGTATCAAGAGCCCTAACCCTGGGACATACATTTTCTTTCAGCTCCTTTTTCTGGGTGGTGAGCTTTCTCCTTATTTCATAGATGGATATTATCCTGCTAATCTGGAGACTACATTCTGGTGCAACTCTTAAATGTTCATAAACCCACAGTGTCATTTCCTCATTTCTACTGCTTTTCAGGAGCTAACACTTTAACCGAGAACTGTAAACACCTCAAGGGAGGGCTTAGAGTCAGTTTTAATTTATTACTTTTATTTCCAGTCTTTTACATTGTGAGCCTCTCGCTGCTATAATTATCACTGCTAAGGTCAGCTCCATGTTTAAAAGGGTGTTGTTTATTAGATTTAACTCAAGGTTTCTAGGTGATTCATGGTGGGAGAATTTTTCAGATTATGACACTGAAATGTTTGTAATGCAAGGATATCACTTCATTTCTTCTCAAGGGGTGGCATTTTCTCTCATTTACATCTCATTTAAATGCTAACATCTTATCTCCAGTAGCCACTTCTTTCACCAGTTATTCTCTATCACATTACTCTTTAAGGTTTCCATCACTCTCTACATTTTCTAGAGTGTGTCCATTGTGTTGTCTATATTTTCTACTCATATGGAAGAACCATGGGAGAACTTTCTTCTGTATTTTTCAACTACAGAAACAGTGAATATCGCAGGCTGGGTGCTCCTATCCTTGGTGGATGAGTAATGCTTTTCAAATATAAATGAATATACAACATAAAATATGTTTCTAAAACACTGGATTACGTCAGTAAGTGGAATGTGTGAATGCTCAGGATTCTCAATTTGTTGTTTATGCAGTGCAGCCTCAGGGAAAGGAGATTGCTTTGAGAATAGCTTAGGGTGTAGCTTAGTAGTACAGTGCAGGCTTACCACGCTTGTGGCTCTGGGCTCCATTCCCAGCACCACAAAACCAAAGTAAAAAACAGAACCTCCCCACCCCAAAACAAATAGGACCACATTACTGCCTGCAATAACATACCATTTTCTCAGCAATCAATAATGGGACTACCCCAAATTATTTAATCTTTCTGAAATTGAAGGATAACTCCAGTGTCTCAAAAAGTGGGATGAGCTGGTAGACAACAGGTCTGTCACAGGGAATTTAGTTTGGTGTTTAGCTGTGGGGACAAATCTAATCCCATGATAAGGAGTCCGAGCTTAGAAAATGTGGTTTAATTATAATTCCCTTTCCCCTTCAGAAAAATTTAGGAATTCTCTAGTTTGAACTCTCACATTGTTCATGATAGTTTTCTCTTGGGGAAATGTTCTTCTAGAATAAAAGCCACTATATACCACCCCCCAACAGTAGTGATAACCTTAAACATTCACTGAATGTTAACAGTAGGCAAGTCACTCAGTTGACAGCTCTGTGTACCTTGCTTTTTTAAAAACCGTAATAATTCTCTTATGATATTAGCATCACTGTTGTTGTCCCATATGGGTGAGAAAACTGGGCGAGGAGAAATCGGGGAACTGGTTCTGAGTGATAGAATTTAAGGTTCATAGTGAGTTCATGTTCTATAATTCTTTTCTCCTGCTCAGTGAAAAAATATATGAAATAATTATTCCCTGTATTTTGCAAGTGGATCCAGAGCATTTCTTCATTCATGGAAAACTAAGTCAGAACCTCATACAGTGTTTTAACAGATTGTGTGTTTGGGGTATTATATGGAGCACAAACCTAAGTCAACTGGAAGCTTTATTAGGATAGATTTCAAATTTTTTTTTTATAACATTCCCAGGTTGCACCTTTTTTTCAGTGTAATATCAGTGACATTTAATTCAAAGTTATAGGATGTATTTTGTTCAACTTCAATGATAGTGATTATTGTATTTGCATTTACAACCATGAATCTTGTTACCCTGCTAGCTTCATGAATGCTTCCAGACTAGATGACCTTCTCTGACTAGGAATCTCAGCCAGGTCATGATCCCGGAGCTTAAACAGACTCCCGGAATCTATGATTCCAATCATGATCAGGGCTTTCTTTCTCCTTATACTTGAAGTTAGGGTAATTCTAAAGAATTTTATATGGACTACTTTGTTGCTTTAGCTCTTTGATCGCTTTCTAAAAATTGTAATTTTCCGTATTCCTTGGATCAGAGTCTTTGGGAAATAGTGTCTGTAGCTGGAGGAGGACCGAGATATAAAACTTGTCTTCTTGGTCAGCTTAACCTCATTCATTTGGTTTAGCTTTGTGCTCTTCTGCCCTGATGCTCTTATGTCTTTGCTTTCTCCATTTGCATTCTTCAGAGAGCTCATCCGGTGGGAAGTAGAGCTCTTAGCCCTAAGTGGCTGGGCAGGAAGTGCTCAGGCCCAGTACTGACACCTTCCAATAAGAAGCATCAGCGGCTGAAATTGCCTTCCTTGTAATTCCCTGGTGGAGGTGGAAGTGCAAGTGTACTGGGACGTTAGTGAACTGCTGAATTTTGTTGACAGCTATGTTCAACTTATTTCTTGGAGCTAAACATTTAAAAGTCGTAGGCCCTTTGCAAATAATAAACAATAGGCATATGTCTCTGAAAAGATTATGCAGATTATTTCTTCATCTCTGTGTTTCTAAAGCCAGAACTTGTTTTGCTTAACTCTAGGACTAAAAATAAAGGTGGTACAATGTTCTCATCTGAAATTTCTACAGAAGGAGTAAGTTGGAACTGGCATTTCTTTAAGAAGTCTGAAATAAATAATTGCCTTACCTCAAATTCAAAATGCATTGTCAATTCTATTACACTTTTATGGAAAGAACTATCCAAATGACCGTGCTCCAACGATGCTTTGAACCTACACGGCCACAATTATACCATACACTGAAAGAACCAGCCCTTTGCAGGACACAGTGTGCTTACAGAGACCTTTACAATAAAGCAAAAAAGAAAAAAATCTTGAAAAACGACCTAGAAAAACAAAACATTTGATCCCAAATTCCAGTACTAAAGTATATTTAAACTGGATTGTTTTCAAATGAGTAAGTGGTATGGCTTATTATTATTTTTTACCTGAAAATCTCAATGAATAAAATTTACAAGCCAGCAAGCCATGGGACAGTAGTTTTAATTAGGAGGATAATATCTATTTACTCTGTCACATAAATGAGTTCAATTTGTTTTGGAAATTAAAATAAAGGTTATTCCCCACCTTCTATTATAAGTGTGTATCAAACAAGGTAGGTCATTTATTATCTCCAGAATTTAGTTTTTACAAGTTTTCGCATCAATAAAGTCCCTTTATGTCTAACAGGAGGAATACAACTTAATTAAAATTAATTAATTAATTTAACTCCAGTGGCCTGTGACTTATCCAGTCAAAGACGATTTACTCACCTATGGTTCTGGCAGACAGCTGTGTCTGTGCCTCCACTTTTGGCCACATCTGCGACCCTTTCTTCATTCACATGATCTGCTTCCGGTAAGGAGCTGCTTTCAGCAGGCAAAGGTTCGGGTTCCCTGGCACAGTCTTCTCTCTGGTCTGTTTCAATCTGAATCAAAGGCACACCCCCGGAGCAAAGGGACCACCTGGCGTGGCTTAAAGGACCAGCATCAGGGCACAAGGAATTTTCCTTTTTAGAATCTAAATCATCGGTGTCTGTAAGAGGAGCAGTTTCGCTTGGAGAGGACACTCGGGGGTGTTTGCTTTCCATAACAGAGTCCTTCCTTGGGAAATCAACAGACTCCTGAACAAGCAGAGTTGGGCCACAGGGCACTCTGCTTGCAGCTAATCTGTTTGCACACTTTTCCCCTTGCGAGGGAGAACTGCCAGAAACAGGACTGGCATCAGCGGTCTCCACATCATCCGCGATAATTTTGTTCTTCCGCATGAGGGCCTCGATGGAGTTTGCCCACGTCTCATGAATTAACATGTTTGTGATCTGGTCAGTCCCTCCTCTTCGATACAAGCATGAGTCAGATTTGCAGAGACCAGATGAGGAGGTGCTACTGACGGTCTGCACGCTCAGGAAACCTTGTGAGCAGTTTTGGGCAAAGCCATCTAAAGAGTTGGCTTTGACCGGTGCATTCACTGTTAACCTGGCGCACGGGGATCTGCTGTCCGGCATGGATGACTGCCTGTAACAAAGCGGGGCTCGCAGAGAAGGAGACAGGAAACCAGTGCTCCACTCCTGGCTGCTTCGTCTGGAGGAGGTGCTGTCTTTGCTTTCTCTTTCGATGTCCCTCAGCATGTACCTGTAGAACTCCTCCGTTATACTCTCCGTGCTGGACTGCTTAGAGGGACAGCTTGACTTCACGCCGAGGTGGTCATTTTTCCGGCAGGCCTGTAACATTGCTGAGTTCAGAATGCTGCTGGCGTTCTTGCCAGCGTAGTAATCCAGCAGGAGCTCAAACCCTCTCCCTTCATTTTCCATCTGGTTCACCATGAACCTGGAAAACTCCTCAGTGATGCTCTCACAGCTGGATTGTTTGGAGACAGAGCTGTCTCTGCTGACTGGCTGGCTTAGGGTGCTCATCAGACCCAGGCTGTTCACGTAGGCCCTGGCCTCAGAGTCCTCCTCTGGGATGCTTTCGCAGCTGGACGCCTTCGGCCGGTTCCACCTGTCACCACTCAGTAAGCGATTTCGGGAATAGCTCTGGGCTTGCCACACGCCATCCACCATGGAGAACTCCGTAAGGTTCATGATCTTGGCTGCCACCTCATTTGCAAAAATGCTGACAGAATCCTGGACATCCTCAAGGTTCATAGACTCGTCCACGACCCTGTTCATGAGCTTCTCTTTAAGTTCAGGGTGCTCGTCGGTTTTCCTCTTGATCTCACTGAGCCTCGGTGGCTTGTGCTTCCTCAGGGTGCCACCACTGCCGTGGCTTTCCTTCTTTCTCTTCAGAGATTGGCAGGGTACGTTTGGTGTCATCAGAAACTCATTCCCTCTTTTCCATGCACAAAACCAGGGTTGTTTTCCATTGGAGTTGTCAAGGCAGATAGCTGCAATTTCAGTTGCCATGGAGACAACTGTCTCTGCTAATTCCTCCGCGAAGTCTGCAATGCAGTAGAGGGCTGTGTGCTTTGCTTCTAGCACGGGTTGAGCTGGAAGCACCAGGTCATCCGCTAACAAGGACAGGTTACCTTGGACATTGTTCTGAGATGTGGCACAGCTGCCCTTCTCTTGGGGGTTGAGGTCAATGCTGTCCTCCGCACTCCCAGAACTGCTTCTGCATTTTCCCACTGCTGGTGTCCTTTCTGCTCCTGAAGAAGCTCTACGTTCATTCCCCTTGTGACTGGGTGTCTGCTGAGGGGTCTTTGTATCCTCTCCCACCATTCCTTTCAGATGCATTCCCTTGGGAGATGTTTTAGCAGTAAAAGAATCCAGCACTTGGTGACTACATGACAATTCGGATGGCAGTGTGGGGTTCTTGAATGGGCCCGGCCTCACTCCACTCTTCTGTTGCTTTGGATACACGTCATCCATAAGATCATCTATGGTGAGACTAGTGCTGTGGGGACTATGAGGCAGATGGCCACTGGAGTATTCTGTAGCTTTTGCCCATGCTTGACCAGCAGTCTGATCAAACGACTGGCAGCCTAGGGCTTCTGTCTCTAGCCATCTGATGGTCTCCTTGGAAAGGACAGTAGGACACTCACCAAGCTTCACAATGTGGCTCATCTTCTTGAAAGTGAAGCAGATCACACTGTGTAGCAGTTGATTTGTGCTTTCCATGAGGGTGCCCAGGGAGTCAAACTCAGGTCTGCCATTGTTGGGGTGGACTTTTTTATTTTTCTGGTGAACTTCATCAATGGAATGCTTCAGGATAACATTGGACAGGGTCTGCGCCAGGTCATTCCTGAGGATGTTTTCTGAGCACAAGGTCTGAGGCTTTGAAGCAGTTTCTATGATTCTCCTGTTCACAGAATCCATGAGGTCTCCGATGCCGCCGTAGGATCCAGGCCTGGTTAAAACCAGAGCTGCCTCTGTGAGCAAAGCCTCTGCAATGGCTTCCTTTTCCAGCTCCATGCTCTTCTCTGTCCCTAAACCACAAAGCGGAGAGGTGGCTTCAGATGCCTCAGCTACAGGCAAGAGGCCACTCGGGGCCACCGGGCATGACACCCCTTCTCTCTCACCCAGGCTACAGACAGCGACAGCACTGGCCACCTGAGTCATCCCACACAAAGCGGATGGGAAGGAGTAGTCACTGATGGAAGGTTCTTTGAATCCTGGGGATTCCTGAGTTTGCAGCTCTCCACTGTCTTCCAGGGTGCAGTTTGACACTGAGGATCCCTGCTCCATCGTGAGTCTTTCTGTGGCCTGTGGACTGGAAATCGTTCCAATCACAGTGGCTGCGCAAGCTAATGCTATTTCTAAAGCACTCTGAGGGTGTCTGCTGGGGTTCTCCCCAGGGAGAACACTTGTGGCATCAACAGAAATGTCAGCGTCAGGCCAGGAGGAGACACCAGCGTCAGGGGTAGCATCACCGCCATCTGGACTCTGTACAATGACGATTTTGGGGAGCTCATTCCACGACCTGGCAGCCACTGCATCATTTGTGGAGCAGCCACTGGGAAACAGAGCACTTTCTACGGGAGCGCTGACTGCAGGCTCTGGGGGCAGTGCAGGCTGAGCCTGAGATAATCTGATAAATGCATCTTGCAGCACGGATTCGGCTAAGTTTGTAGCATACTCTCCAGTGGTAGCTTCTCCGTCTTGGACAGGAGGAAGAGAATTTCTTGGGCCTTCGTGGTCCCCTGGCTCTAGGGTGCCACCCTGCTCAGTGACAGTGGCACCTGCAGCAGGCACACCTTTCTCAACCATCGTGGAGAAATGGGCATCCCTTGAAATGTCCAGTGCTTGGGATTTTTCTACTTGATCTTCAAAATTGTCTGAATAATGATTTGTGGCTGGTTGCTCATTCCCCACAGAGTCACTGCTCACCTGTAAGGGCTTGGGTGATGAATCCGGCCTTTGGAAGGCTGTGTTTTCTAGAGATTCTGTTTTAATCAATTGTGTATGATATTTGCTAACACATTTGTTTTCCAAAACACAAAAGAGCTTCTCCTTCTTGTCATCCCATTCTGCCTGAGTGGTTTCCCTTGGCTTTTTACTTTCAAAAACATTGGTTGATACATTTATATTTTCATAACCTAGTGAAGAAAAAAATGAGATCTACTATTATTTTTTTGGATAGCAGGTTGCCATGAGACCATATTCATAAGTGAAATAAATCAGACTCACATGTATAAATATCCTATTGTCTCCCTAGAAACTAAAAGAATGAATAAAATGCAAAAGGTACAACAGGTATTGTGAAAGGGAAAGAAACTGCTCAGAAGGAAAGAACAACTGGGGTGGGGGAAAGGAGAAAAGAAGGAAGGGAAAATATATATATACACAAGATAGCTAAGATCATTGTACTACCAATTTCTATTAGTTTATTGAAAGGAACAGTTAGTGTTTATATTGTCTGATCAATTTTACACGCCTGTACCTGGTAATCTGAGCAACTACTTTGAAGGTAACAATATGCAATATAGCAACCATTGTTAATTTCCAATTATCTTGTTTTGAAATTCTGTATTATTTTTATAGTTTTTAAAATTTTCTTTAAAAAAGTAATAATAATTATTTTCTAAAATGGCCTTAAAGTACCAGCTGTCTCTCTGTCTTCAAATATACTGTTGAGTATGTTTCTTTAAGAAAAGTGAGTTTGAAAAAGAGTTTCAGATTCCATTATGGAGTGTCCCAGAACAAAATTGGTTTCATTGTAGACATAAGTGCAAATGCTAGGGCAGAAAGTACTTAGGACCTGAAACCCAGTCACCATTCTTCTGGGGAAAGCAACACAAATAGCTGCATCTTAGAATTTTCCAGAGGGTTGAGAGGAGGAGAAAGGATGTTTAGAATTAAATCTATTGCACAGATTTACTTGGAGGTTTGCACAGAACTTGCCTTGGGAAAAAACAATACCTGGGACTTTCTTTTGTCTGTAGATAATAGCGGGGGTGGGGGGGAACCCATTTCTTGAGCTCCACTTATGAACTAATGACTGAAAAAGTTAAGTGTCAAGCACTTCTTTGGTTAATGCCCTTTACTTTCACAGCAGTCATTAGCTATGGGTACTGTTGGACTCTGAAATTACGGATAAGGCAACATCAAGCCTGAAAAAGGTTAGAAAGATGGCTGTAAGTCTCATACATGCTTTTTATGGAACTCTCAGGGAAGATGACTCTCCTCCCATCAACAGCCTCTGCCTCAAGGCAGGAAGGAAAATTTCCCTTTAAAACACACAGATTTCTTCCAGCATCCCAAAGGCATCTTTTGGGAGTCTGCTCCATCCCTCTTCATCTTCTGAGTGCAAGGTCGTGAGTTCGGTTCCCGGCACCGGAGAAAAACAAAAAAACAACAACATCTTCTGAGTGCAGTAGTCAGCATCTTTGCCAGTGCTTTCTTTCTTTCCTTCCTTCCTTCCTTCCTTCCTTCCTTCCTTCCTTCCTTCCTTTCTTATGAATCAGTGAGTGAATACTGCAATGTTGTCACCTAATCAACCTGGACTTAAACTGTTTTGAAACTTCTCCAAGACATTTTTATATGGTAACGAATGCCGGGGTGCACATTGGTTTTTATTGGGACATTCTCACCATTCCTACATTCTTCCACCTCGCTCTCCTCCTCCAGGTGCTCAGAGGCAGTGAGGAAGTCTTCCTCGATTGAGGACCAGGAACAGTTTGTGTCATCCTCCAGTTTCAAGATGTTTGTTTCCTGGTGGAGCTGCCGCTCTTGCACCAACTCCAGTCCAATCAAGAATTTATTGATTTCAAAGATGATGCAGTTGGTACTGTTCGGTCTGTTCCCTCTTGCACACTGGACCAAGCAGATGTCGGGCAGCCAAGGGCACTAAAAGCAGAGAGAAAAGGAGACATCATTCAAAAGGGGTGGGGGAAGTTTTGCTTCTAACTTTTCTCTTACCAGCCAACATCTGTTAAAAGAAGTGGGGAATCTTAAAAATATTTGAAATATCTTCTGGGCTTAGATGGACGAACTTCTTAAAAAACATTCAAGTGGCATTTGGGAATCCAAGATCTCTAGGTCTCCAAGGTCTCTAGGAGGAAGTTTTATTTGCAAGAAAATAGAGAGCAGCTGTATCACATATTTTGTTTTCCCTGGCCAAAGCAAAAATTAAACTGCAAAGTTCAACAGCCAAAGATGGTTTTATTCAGGCTACTGAACTAGGGAAGAAAAGCCAGAACTCAAGCTCTAATTCTCCCAAAGCAGAAGGCAACAGGATTGTTAAGAGCCGGAGTTAGTGGAAGACCTTAGCTCCTCTCTGTTTGCTAGTTGGCTTTACCCAAAAGCAAAGTCAACTTTCTTGTATGTTCAGGACAAGTATTACTTTTGCAACTTGGAGCAAGGTGCCGACAGAACTTAAGTTCCTACCCTTCTACAGAGACTGGAAGATGGGAGCATTAACGTCCTGACAGTTGATGGGTCGCTCAGGGGTAAAAACAATTTAAGTTTGAACGATATGAAGTTTCCATACTTGTAGGTCAACACAGTTGTATATTGACCATTTCATATTATTCAAATTAAATATATATATTAAAGTGTTGGAGGTGTCAAAGAGACATTAACAAAGTAATATGGACAGTGGAGCAACACTTCAAGACAGACTTAGAGAAGGGATTTTACTACATGTGCACTGTTACACACCTTTGATATTAGGGCAGCCTTTTCAAATACTGCCTGTAGCCAGGCATGGTGGCTTATACCTGTAATCCCAGAACTCTGGCTCACAAGTTTGAGCTCAGTTTGGGTTCTTTAGCAACTTGTTGAGAACCTGTCTCAAGATTAAAGAAAAAAAATTTAAAAGGTTAAGGCAGTAGCTCAGTGCAAAGGTGTTTTTAACCCCCAGCACTGCAAAAACAAAAACACACACAAAAAACACCTTTCTGGAAGTAAACAAATATCCTGGGAATCTTAGCTAAATGAAGGCCAAACAATATAGCCTCTAAGACAATGGCAGATATCATTATAGAAGTGTGATGGTAGTTTCTTGAGTGTTTAGCCTAACTTATCATGTTCAGTTTGAACATTTGATTTATCAGGTTGCTAGCACCATTGCTCTTTTACAGGGGAGAGAACAGGGATACACACAGAAAGACTAACCAGTCTTTTCAAGGTTATACAAGCATAAAGTAGAAGGGCCAGCACTGCAGTTCAGGCTTTTTGGATTCTAATTCCAGATCTCTCTGATGTCCTGGTCCAGAAAACAAAGATATAGTGTCCAAAGAAGATCCATGAACTTTGGTAAGGATGCAAGGCCACACCTGGGTCTCTACGAATTCATGCATGTGCAATAAATGACGCCTTCATTTCCTAGGACACCCGCAGGAGTAGACCTTACTGTTGCAGATAATATGCTTACAGAAATTTGCTTTTGTGGAAACCCCCGATTTTACTTGTATTTTTGACTTAGTATTTTACTTAACTATTAGCTATCACATGGTCTTTGTGGTTATTATTTTTCCTATGGATTTTTAGAGTTTATCTTAGGGCTGCACTAAGGGAGCTCTCTATTTGTGGCTCACTGGTATTATTTGTTCATTAGTCTTTTGAGACATATGTAAGTGCACAGCTGTATACCTGTTTACATGTATTTAATAATAACCACAGGAAATAAAGTTCAAGAGAATACTTGACTGTAAACCCAGTGAAAATAAAATGGTTAAGTTTTTGCCACTGTCTTCCTAGCACCTAGACAAATGTTGAACACTTTGTAGGTATGTAAAGAAATATTTGTTAAATGAATACAGGAATGATTGAGAGATGCTATAGAATTTTTTACATTTTACCAATTGTGTTATTTAATTATATAAAAGAGTGTAACGATATATAAAAAAAGCAAGGAAAATTTGCTAAGCTTAAAAACAAAGATGTGAATAAACAAAGAGGAAAGTTCTCACAAGGAAAAAAATTCTTAAGAGGCAGAAAAGGTAAATTATTGACATTATTCCTGCAACATTATTGTACTTCCTTTGGCCAAAGGAACATAGCCGGTTGGTAATTGGATCATACTCTTGGTGCTCCTCATACTCCACCCAGATATCTCATTTCAGTTTTGTTAGTGTTTTGTTTCTACTTTGTCTGCTTTAATTTTTTGAATACAAAAAGAAAGTACTTTGAATTTGGACAGACCTTTGTACCTTTCCAATTGCTTTCATAGTATTTCATTAAATTATCATTATTATTATTACTAAAATTTCCAAGAAATTTATTTTAAAATCTCCACTTTATAAAGTAGGATGAAGACAACAATAGGTAATATAACAACCACTGTTAAGTCCTATCATTTTTATTCTGAAACCCTGTGTCATTTTTATTGTTTTTGCCTCATTTTGTTTTTGTCTGTGTTGTTGATATTTTGCTAGTGTTCTTTTTTCTTTTTAAAAATTATCATTCTCTTTAAAATACAAAATACAAAACAGGAAATGAAAGTTAAGATAAATAAAGTAACATCTTATCTGGATTCCTAACTAATCTATTCACCTGATTAGTAAAGTCTTCTTTAATATCATAATTTCCTGGTGCGAAATGGCTTGTTTATTCATTTATACCCCTAATATGTCTGATTCAGACCCTTCTGGACTTACCCAGCTCAAGTTTCCCCTGCCAATCTTTCTGTCCTTATTTCTGAGTAAATATGCCACCAACTTCAAGGACATAAAGCAGAGAATATCCTTAAACAAGAAAGTACCTGCTATAGTTGGCTGGGATAAGGTTCAGCATTGAAGTGCTCCCCCTGTATTGCTGATCTTTTAAAACATATGGGTTAAATACTTACAACATGATTTAGCAGCTCTGGGGGCTTGCAGAAGGTGGGGTGATGCATAGCAAGTGATGGAGGTCCTTATAGTAAAAAGTTTGAAATGTGTCAGAGTGATGTAGTTCACAGGTGGTGATAGACCTTAGATGGAGAAGTACGCAAAGTGATGAATGTCTTTTTTCTTTCTATGTTTGCTTTGAACAGGGCCTCTCTCTGTTCTCTTGAACCTTTGGGAGATCCTCTGGCCTCAGTATTGTGGGTAGCTGGGACTACAGGCCTGAGCCTGTGCCATAGTCACTGGCTTTGAACACATTTTTAAAGGATGATCTTTATGAGTTCTTGGCAATTTGGCTTTCCTGATCTCAAAGAATATCTTTGTTGCTTTTGAGACCCAGCATCATTTGCCCTTCTGGTTCTCAAACCTACCTGGTAGGGTACTATTTCCAAGTAATTCAGGAGGAGTTCATTTATCTCCAACTCCATGGGTCACCATGTGACTCAGGGCTGCCTGATATGAACTGTGTGTAATTGGCTACGAAATGAGCAGAGAACACGTGAGAATCTGTGAGACTCAGTGAGACTCCTGCTGGGCGCCATCGAGAAGGGGCTCCTTGTGGCAAGAGCTTATTTATAACAGGACTGGCAAAGAGAAGGCAGAAAAGAGAAAACCCACATCCTTATGACATTGTTCCAATCCCTGTGTCTGATCTTCCCAGTGGACTTGTTTAGTTATAGGAGACAATATATTCTCTTTGTGTTTAAGCCAATTTTCTGCCATGTTTAATTAAAAATCCTAACTGGGGTTGATCAGCATGTAGGAAGTTCAACTCAGGGTCAGGTCCAATTAAAGTGAGTATCAATTTTCCTAGGGAAATTGGAAGGAAGTTGAATTTTCCAGTAATACCTGTACTTGGTAAAAGCTACTAAAAGTATTGTATAAAGTTGAGAAACTTAGTAAAAAATGTACGGATGGTATAAAGAAAATAGGAATAAAATCTTCATTATATGCTATATTTTAAGGATATAGTGTACATTTTGGTGACAAACCAAAAATTACATGGGATTCATGTAAAATTTATAGTACACAATCTTGTTACTAGCTACAAAATCAGGGATTTATAAGTATCTAGTGATAAGGCCTTCTCACATGTTAATTGATTTATCACAATGTTTACAGAAATCATCACTATAAAACCAAAAATTTAGGAATAAACATTTTTACATAACAGTATTTTTGCAGAAGAGACATAATTTTAATTGTATTTTTGTACTATGTTGTGCTTAAAATTTTACACTTCCTTCTTTTGTAAAAAGAATTGTTGTCTTCACAAAAAAAAACAAAAAAAACAAAAAAAACAAAAAAACAAGGGGCTGGGGATTTAGCTCAGCGGCAAAAGCGCCTGCCTGGCAAGCGCAAGCTTGTGAGTTCGGTTCCCGGTACCGGAGAAAAACCAAAAAAAAAAAAAAAAGAATTGTTGTCTTCAAATTAGTTGTTCAGATTACCAGATATAAGCATGCAAAGTTGCTAAAACAATAAAGCATTAACTGTTCATTTCAATAAACCACTAGATATCAGCAGTACAGTTATCCCCGCCATGCTTCTGTATACATGTATATATTTTCCCTTCCTTCCTTTCCTTTTCTCCTTTCCCTCATCGCAGTTGTTTCCCTTTTGAGTAATTCCTTTCTCTTTCCCAATGAATTCCTATCATCTTGTTTGGTGAAACTCTGCATCATTTATATTTTTTTTGTTTTTATTTTTTATTCTATTTAATGGTTTGATTTATCTTGCATTCTTACATCTGGTAATCTGACCAACTTTGTTGAAGATAAAAATATGTAATATAACAACTGTTATATTACATATAACAATATAACTGTTATATTACATATAACAATATAACTGTTATAACAATATAACTGTTAGTCCCTATCAAGTACAGTGTATCACCATGAATTGGAGAAGATAATAGAAATTTGGACATAATACAAGGGAAACTCTACCAAACTCAGAGTAGCAATATTTGGGAGAAATACAAATGAAGAGTACTATCAAGTACAAAGGTATCATTGATTATGATATTGTGGGTGGTTGCATGTAGCATATGCTTTGGCTTCATATCAGTCTGCAATGAGGCAACTGTAGATAATTTATCCTTAGGCGAATGACTGAGAATTTAAGTTTCTTACCTGTGAAACTTGGAAATCTGCCTGGAGATTTCCCGATGCTAAGCCACTTAGGAGAACAATTTCATTTTCTTTTGGCTGTTGGACATTCATGGAGCTGATAAGTTTTGGAAGATCTGGTGAAACATTGACCAGTTTCTGCAGAGAAAGAATCTTTGTTAGCTAAGATGATTTCTTTTCACTTCTAAAATACCTCCCCCACACTATTTTACATGTGAAGATGATTTACTCATACTACAGATTACTTAATATACTAAGAGTATCACTGGAAGAAGTTGTATAAAATTAAAGTGTAAGAGTTAAGGTAAGAATAAAAAATTTAAGCTTTAAAAACTCTTCAGTTCTAAATTTTCCAAAGTGAACATTTGACAAATACTGTCACACCATAGATAGAAACAGTGGCTTGGAAATGATTTTCCTTTAAGACTTTGATTTAGAGGACTGTTTCTGGATAATCTTCTATTCTAATAGTCAATCACAATAATAATAAATGACTAACACTGATTTTACTTTGACTATGTAGTAAGCACTATGTTAAAGACTGTATATACGTTACATCTTACTGCATTTAATTTACACAAGAGCCCTATTTGGATTTCATACCATTATTACTTATATTTTATACCTAGGCACCTAAAGCCCAAAGATGAGAGATCTGCACGAATCAGTGCCGGTGTGCCTGCTGAAAGCTCTATCAGAAGGCTGTCTCAAGAAACTCACATGAGCTCTTCCAACCCAGAGTTCTTGCAGTGCCAAGTTGCTTTTATCCTCCCTGCTGTCCCTTTGATGGACTCTGCACAATAATTCCATCAAATGGAATGGTATGTACAATTTATTTTAAAAAATCGTTGTAGCTCTACACAGGTGATGGTATTTGGAGCTTGGTGAAAATTTCTAAGGGATAACCTGTGAAAGCAACTGGGTTTAAGAAGCAACAGTGCCTGACAGCCAAGAAAAGGTATAGGAATAAGTGAATAATTGCAGCCATTGGTTACAAAATAATTGGGTGCTGAGTTCCGTACATTTGGCCTATTGTTCCATGGTAATCAAGCTGCAAATGGCGTGCTGTTATGCATTAAAGAGTATTACACCAAAGGGTGAGGTCAAACCCCAACAGCTTGGGGTATGGAATTAATTCTTCCCCTTGTAGGGAAGGCTGTGTTTCCAAAACCTAACTGGATCTTCAAGTGCTTACACGTTGTAAAGGATCTACATCAGCTTGCTCACAACCTCAGGTGAGCTTGGCGAGATCAGCTCCTGCATGGTTGAACAAAAAAGTTGTAGCCCCAGGGGCTGGGGATTTAGCTCAGCGGCAAAATACCTGCCTGGCAAGCACAAGGTTGTGAGTTCGGTTCCCGGTACCGGAAAAAAAAAAAAAAAAAAAAAAAAAAGTTGTAGCCCTAGATGAGTGCAGGACAAGAAAGGCACTGCTCGAGGTAACATTTCATGAAAGCTGCAGGAAGGAGCTAATAGAGGCACAGAGGAGTGCAGGCTGGAAGGAATCGGGTCTTATAAACACTTTGGAAAAGTCCGGTCAGACAGCGCTTGAGCATAATGGAAGAAAAGAGTCGCTCCGGGAAGTGCTAGGGAGTGAGAGAAAGTTCCTGACTGAACTATGCTGCCTATATGGAAAAGCAAGCTTAACAAATGTAAGAAGAGCAAACTGCACGGGGTAGTCTCAAGGGCAGGTCAGGGAAATAGATGTGATGAAGCCACCTGATGGAAGAGCCCCTTCCAAAACGAGCATCATTTACAGATGAACCCTTGTCAGGAGCTCCTGGAAGCTCGAGTTCCAGAGTTACCTGCTGCAGGTGCTCTGTGCTACACGCATCCTTGTTCACATCCAGGTTCACAAAGCAGACCTGGGAAAGAGAGCAGCAAAGAGTCAATTAAATGCAAAACCTGCCAGTCCTTTCAGAAGAAAGCAGAAAGCTCTCAGCTCTTGTTCACTGTTACATCAAGCACTTCTGTCCACTCGCTCTTCTTCCTCTGGGTCTGCTTTTAATACCTGTGTGATGAGCAGATTTTCCTTTGCCTCTGTGCACACGTGCATTGCAAAGTTTAAAACCTTCTGCAGATTGTGTCTTTGTGGGTCATTTTAGATAAATTTTTGAATGAGTGGCAAAACAAGAGGAACAATATTAAATAGTTTCAAACAACAGTAAATTATTGTGATTTAAGTTCCAGGCATATCACATAGACAGAAAACTACCTTGAGCATTCAGATGGGGCTGGAGAGCAAAAGCTTAAGGAAATGTTTCAAAGAGGTGACACATGCTCCTGAAAGAGTGTTTTTTTTTTTTAAAGTCTTGAAAGAGTATAGGAAAAGGGGGAGATGTCCCTAGCAGGGTGGAGGGCAGCAGTAGTGCTTCAAGGTGAGAAAAAGAAACATGTAGTCAAAAAAGAAGAGAGGAAGAGTCTGGTTGTGATCCAGGCAAGCAGCAGAAGGGAAGTGTTAGAAACCACGTCTTGGGAGGATTATGTTAGGTGAGGTAATATGAATGAAATTTTTTGTCTTGCTAAAATCATCCAAAGGTTTTTAGTCTTATGTAGTGGCTTTGATCATCTGAAACAGAGGATGTGAAATACTAGGAAATTTATTTAGACATTTGGTTTTATGAGATACCTGCAGATACATGGGACGTTCTCATTTCAATTAGCTGTCAGACAGAAAGAAATCATAACCCTTTTCTGCTTGAGAGAAAAAGACAAAACAAAGCAAACAAACGAAAGGAAAAATGATTGGAAGTTTTTGAGAACACCTTTTAAAAGTAGAGCAATTTACTCCTTGCTGAAGTATGAATGTCATTACTGCTTTATTCCCAAAGTGAGGTTTTTTTTCCAAGTGTTACAGGCTCCCAGATCCCACAGCGCATCTCTTGAATAGTGTCTGCCTGTGTGATAATCTGAGGTGGGCAAGAAATGCTGCCTACACTCTCCTTCCCAGATTCCTTTCCTCTGTAATGTTAGGGAGGAATTGAGCAGAAGTCCCTCTGCAGGCAGACCTGGTAGAAGCATAAGTAGTAGGTAGAAGCAGTTCATGATCTAGAGCGGTTTGAAATTATTCATACAATAATTGCAATTTTGCCTCTGGAAACTAGTTCAATATCCTTTAATACTCAAGGACTTTTCATCAAGATGCATCTAAAGACGGCAGTTATTGAATTACTGGGACAATTTCCCATTCATATTAAGGACAGCTCCATTACCTTGCCCTTGGGCATCGAAAAGCTCTTCTTATTCCATATCTCAGTGGGAGAGGGCAAAACAGAGTCCAGAGACCAAGCAAAGGCATCCACAATAATAATTTTCTTCATTCTTGGCTACCATGTGAACTTTGGCTAGCCTCTGATAAAAATCCTTTACAGTTGTTGGGGGACCAAGATAGAAGCAAAGCCAGATACAAATCAGCCTCTTATTTACACCTTGCAAGCACATCTCCCTGTGTCCTGGTGGTGTAGGATAATCCAGGGTGTTTAGGGCCTGATGTATGTACGGCTTGGGGAAACCTTCTTTAAGAAATGGAGTAACAAAATTTTCATTCGATATAAAATGAATATTTATTTTTTTCAAAGAAAGAAGAAATCACAACAATACTCAAATTTGAAAAGCTTGAAATGTCACAAGTACTGAAAACTTCCAGAATGGTAATATTTTAACTAATCAACTGACCAAATATACCTCCATAGTACTTTTTCCCCATGTAGTTTTGGCTGCTTTCACTTCTACCATCTTTTCATATGATGGGAATTTTATAGTATCATTTTCTCTATGGAGAATAGAAAGAACATCCTGTCTTCTCTTAATACGATTGATTGAATTTTATCAGTTAAACAGAATTTTATTGACAATACCTTGTACTCTTTTAGCTTACTATCAAATTTAGTGCAAAACTACTACTAAATTTCTTTCTTATATGAGCTGTTACAGGCACACTTACTATTTGTAGGATCATTCTGTTTTTGTGTTCTATAAACATAAACATTTAATTCTACAATGACTGATTCTACAGTGAATCCAAGCTCCTGCTTCCCAGGAGCTCCAGACGTTCTTGCTTAAGAACTCTAACTTTTACGGTCACATGCTGAATACTAATCTTCCATCTTTATTATGGTTTTAAATTAAAACATTGGAAGAACAAATATCACTGAGAAAGTGGTGTCTCTTTTATGATTTTCATACCTACGTAATCTGATAAAATAGTCTTCAAAATTCTCTCTATATAGTAGAACTCTGTGCATCAGCTATATACTACTTTGTTGGGCATTATGGGTTATTTTAGTCAAGGAATCTTCATTATTTCTTTTATTTATAATTCCTTTTTCATAAACAGAGTTTAGTAGATTTTTTAAAAATAAACTTTTGCTGTGAAATGTTATTAGTTTCTTATAAAATATATTTTTGTGAAAGGCTATTATGAAAAGGAATCTGACATCAATATCTAGTAAAACAGGACGGAGTAGCATAATTTTTAAGTGGTTTGCAATTCACAGTAACTTCTGTAAGGCAACTGCATCTACAAAACAAGTCAGATAAAAACAGTACTACTGTATCAGTTAAAAAAAAAAAGGCTTGATTTTTGAATTGAGTCAAAAACAAATGAAAGGAGCTTGATTGTCAGCATCAAACCCAGACCATGGACAGTTTCATGTTTCCATGTGTTAATTTTAGTTGACATTTTAGACTGTTGAGGGCCAGGGATATAGCTCAGTGGCACAGTGCCTGCTTAGAAAGTGCAAGGTCTTGAGTTTGATTCCCGGTAACAAAAAAAGAAGATGAAAAAGTTTACTACCTTTGTCCTGGTACCAAAAAAACCCCACACAAAACAAACAAACAAACAAACAAACAGAAAACAAATAATAATAGACTGCTGAAAGAGTCAAATGTAAGAGGCAAGAAAGGTCAGTGTACTATGTACCAATTTGGGGCAGATTACACTGACACCTTTGACTTCCTCTGCTGAGAACTTTCCCATTTCTCTTGAAGTCAGTTAAAATCCAATAAGGAAATCATTTTTATGACGATTCTGCTTTGAAATTGTTAATCAAGACTCATACCACCGCGATTCCCAGCCGAAAAGCGCGCAAAGAGCCAGGTAGGCCGCACCCA